TGAAAAGGATCCATATGCTGGACCTACCACCCAGCTAAATATGTGACTTATCTGTAAGGCTTTTCTAAAAGATAAATTTCTTTATAGGTAATCAAAAAAGAGTCTTTATCACATTGAAATGATGTTAATTGTCTAAAGATGTGATCTCTAATATGTGAAGATACTATCCTATCCCCAAGGCCTTATTTGGAAAGTTTAAAACATATTTTGGGATTTAATATAGAAGCATTTTATCATTCTGGAAATACTCAGCCATTCCATCTCCTGTATAGAGTTCTTAGAACAGTCTGGCTGACCAGTGCTGAAGCCCAGAGTTACTTGCCTCCTTGGCACTAGCAAGAACACAGTTTCTTAGTGTCTTATTCATGTCTTTAGCTCATTGTCTTAGTTTTCAGCAGGGAATAGAGTCTGTTGTTTTAACATGCTATAGCTAAGAAGCCATTGTTCCTGTTACTATCACAGATTTGTTTGGGTGGCTTACATGAGAACTCAGGTTTATTTCACCAAATTTAACTTTGTACAAGTCAGACTACCAAGAACATATAGAATTGTGATTCTTCTGTTGAACTTTCTTTCAGGAAAGTAGAAGACCAAGGATTATTTATTTTCATCCCAATTTTTAAAATATAGTATAGGATTCAAATCCAATGAGACTCTTTTAGGACACCCCTTTCAAGTTTATAGTAACATAAAGCAAAATAACAAAGCTCTTAGATAAATGTTCTGCTCTTCTAATTGGCTTGTTTTTAAAACTCTGGGCCTTGACCTATAACATATCTGTAATTAACAGTAGTTTGTCTTCATCTTGACAACAATCAGTTAACGCTATTATATTATGCATACTAAACTCTTTGCTAAACTTAATGTGCTTGTTATGAAGAAAAAATTATGTTTATTAGTATTTACTAAAAGGTATTTTTAAATGTAACTATTAAAATATTACTATTACTATTGTTTTAGTTTTCATTAATAATTTTACCATTAATATGTGCAACATTTTTATATCACTCTTTTAATAAAGAAAATGTTTTATATTTAATTTTCATTCAGTTTTATTTCTGTGTCTGAGTTTTTTTTCTATGTACTGTCTGTGTGTAGGTGCCCTCAGATACTGGAATGGGATGTTTTAGCCCCTGAATCTGTAGTTAGAGATGGTTGTGAGCTGTCTAATGGGGTGCTGGAAACCAAACCCAGGTCCCTGGGAAGATTAGCAAACTCTTTTAACTGATGAACCAATTCTCTCTAACTCCAAGGAGAAAATATTTGGTTAGGATAATTTAACTTCTGCTCAGTCATCCAGATGATTTAAATTTATGTTGAAAACACATACCACAAACTGTACAATCATAAACACAATTAACTGAATTTTTGCTCTGTCAGCATACTACAACCAATACCCTAATTAGAAGCAGACCCTTGTGAACTCTACTAAGGGCTGCTATTGTCCTAATTTATAATAACAGAGAAAGCTACTTTTTCTTGCTTTAAATCTTTTTATGCATAGAATTAGAAGCCCACTGCCTTTTGTGTCTGGCTTTTCCATTACTGTTGGTTTTGCTTTGTATTATTGCTCCTAGATTTATCTGTATTATATTATATAGTGTATAGATAACCAAACCTGAGGTTATATATTCTCTTTGCTGTTGGATACCTCACAAAGATGTGAAGTCAAAAAGATGTGAAATGGAATTGCCTCTTAAAGTGTGAGAACAATATTGAGGTACTTACATAGAATCTGACATATGCTTCCCTCATTCTCAAACAATTAACTCTCATTACTAAGACACTTTCACAAACCTATTACTGTGATTTTCTGTCACCTCCAAATGCTACTCAACACTCCTTTTCACCAGTGACCTAGCATTATCATACAGTGACTGAGGTTGTAGGCACTAGCCTTCTGCTACTGTGTACCTTAAACACGGACAGTCATTCAGATGCTATAGATTTTATTTTCTTAGTAATGTACAATGGAAGGGTGGAATTAGAAGGAGTGCCTCTAAAGCATCTCCCATGCAAAGACTTAGGCAGACTGATAAGTGAGACTATAAAATATTAGCAGGTTTACTTCAGAAAAGTATAGTTCAAAATCTGGAATTCCCATGGGATCGTAGTGTCAGCGAGAGTTGTTGCAGTTCTTCAGTTTTCCTCTCTCACCTTCTCATTAATAGTGTATAAGAATTAATTAATTAATTAAAATATTAAGTATCAATAAATTAAATAAGAGTTAATTAATAAAATAATGTTAATATAGTTATAGATAATATAGCCATCAATAACTTTGTCAAATTTTGGTGGTTTTTATTCCTTGTTTTTTTATCAATTTGTTGGTTGTGAAGTGATATTTGTATATAAGTTGATTTCTCCATATTTATTCCAATGAAAATATCCATTTATATTATTTATATGGTTATTGGGGAAGCTGTTCATTTATTCTGCTCATTTTCTCTATTATTTGTCTTTTAGTATTGATTTGTTGGAGAGTGTGCTGGGTGCTATATTGTAATTATTTGTAATTGATATGAAATGAATATATTTTCTTAGATTTTTATTTAATTTCTTGTACTTTGTGTCCTTACTTATCTTAAATTTCTTCTACTACTGCATAGGCAAGTTGCCACATCTCATTCTCATTTGTATCTTGGCTATTTGGGATACTTTGTTTTTTCTGTAGAATTTGTAAAATCAACTTTTTTTACATTAATTTAAAAATCCTTTTGGAATTGTTGAGGTTTTATTGAATTTATAGATTTCATTAAATTTATTAAAACAGTATTTCTAAGGCTTATGTAGAACTCTGTGGTCTTTCTAAGATATATCACTAAACACCAAAACACTTCCATGGATTATTTTGTTTGTTAAATCACACAACAATGATTCGTTAATAAGCCATTATTGTCCTCAGTTGTATTCTTTATCATGTTCACATGCTTTTCTTGTTCTCAGTACTAGCTGTGACTTTCAGCATGGTACTTAATGGAGTTGTTGTTAATCCCTGCCCTGGTTCTGATCTTAAAGAGAGTATTTTCCTTTCCAAAATCAAATGTGCTGTGGGTCTTAGAATATTTGCCACATTTATTCCGCTGGGGAGTCAAAGGTGTGTGCCAGTTACCAGCATCAGCAGAGAGATGCCCTCTCTTTTCCTGTAGACTCTCAGCAGCCCAGAAGGATCAGTTTCACTAATCATTTCAGACACTGAAAGTTTTAAAAGGTTCATCATTTTCTTAAATGACAGATACCAAATGGTCAAAGCAAAATCTAAACACATATTTTATTGAAACAGTTGTCAAAGTCAAACTTAAGAGACTCAGATATTTTTACTCTAATCATTCTGACATAGGAATGATTCATTGCATATTATTAAAAAACAGTACTAGCTCTAACGCTTGGGAGGTGCTTTTAAATGTAGGTAATAAAGCAACTTCTTAATATGAATTAGGTTGTCTTTCCTGTGACTCTTACTTATAATTTGGTCTGTTTTCCATGCATGCTAGATGTCAGCAATTATTTGCAGTCGTCACTGAGGATTTTGACAGGAATAGTGAAGTGGTCTACCAATGAGTAGCTGCTTCAAAAAAGTCAGGTCATCTGGCTTTAAGGAGCTGAAACCTTGAAATGAGCTCTGAGCCAGTCTATGGCTTGAGTTAAACTAGCAAATCATAGTAGTCCTGAGAAGCCATTGCCTTGGTAGGTTTTTTGGCATATATCTATAATTCTACTGCTCAGATGGCTAAGGCAGGAATACTGTGGCTGGAGGCCAGCCTGACTTCCATAGTGATTGTCTCAAACAAAACCGAAAATCAGAACAGAGGAGAAAAAAAATCTTTTGCCAGGGGAAGAGTAAAATTTCTGATTTCTGAATGCTTCAAGGTATATTACCAGCAAAAACAACAAAACAGTTTTTTGTTTGTTGTTTCTTTCTTTGATAGTACTTATAATCCTCTAAATATAGTTTATCACAAGCTGATTTCTAGCAAAAGGCCTCTTTTGTTGCTTTTCATTTTTATTTCTTTAGGACTTTTTTGTTATCATTGTTTTTTTTTTGTTTGCATGTGTTTCGGCATATGAACGTCATTGTGTAGGAAGTCAGGGGCACGTTAGACTTACATCTTCCTTTGGTTACCTTCCTTTACTGCTGGAAGAAGGCTGCTCTCTCCAAATGGTCACATTTCTTTTTGATCTGTCTGTCATGTGGTGGGATCCACACTGAAACTTCTAAATATACCAAAGACTGAGCTATGCTCAGAACGTTGAGACTTTATTTGCATGCTGCTCCTATGATGTTATTGTGGAACTTTTACCATTCTCATTGCAGCCAGCACTACCATCTGCTTGGTAAGGGAATGAGTCAGCCACCCAGATGACTTCATCAGATTTTTTTTTATAACTACTCTCTCCACAAGGGAGGGAGTATACACACACTCTGTAGGAGATTGATATACTCTGTGATCAAATCCCTTCTTTCCTCCTTTTCCCTCTTACAAAAACAAAAACAAAAACAAACAAATGAACAAAGCACTTCCAACAACAACAACAAAAAACTATTGTATGGTCTTTCAGTGATGAAAATATTTGGATCATCATTGAAAAAGATCTTTTAATATAACTATCTCCCTGAAAACTAATTCCTCAGTTGGGCGGTACAAATGTTGCAAACATTGAAAGTCATTGTTGTCAGCAAACAGGACCCATTTAATATGCATTTATGGTACCTGATTCATGCACTAAAGATAATACAGAGCTGCTTTGTCTGATCAGAGCTCTTATGGTGATACTTAAAAATTAATTTTTTGAAAAAAATTATTTTCAAGAATGTTACTTACCTACTGTAGTTGATGACCCAACCTGAAGTGGTTTATTAAAAGGATTCTGAGTCTTTGACAGGGCTTTGTCTCAAATGTTTGCTAAGCAGTGGCCGTTAGTTGTTAACTTTATTAAGGTCTACTGATGAGTAGTGTGTACTTACTGACTTACACACATATATATCTGTTTTTCTCTAGGAAAAGAAGAGTATATTGCCACGTTCAAGGGATCTGAATACTTCTGCTACGACTTGTCTCAAAACCCCATTCAAAGCAGCAGCGACGAAATAACTCTATCCTTTAAAACTCTTCAGAGGAATGGACTGATGCTTCACACAGGGAAATCAGCTGACTATGTCAATCTTGCCTTGAAAAATGGAGCTGTCTCTCTGGTCATTAATTTGGGATCAGGGGCCTTTGAAGCGCTAGTGGAGCCCGTGAACGGAAAGTTTAATGATAATGCCTGGCATGATGTGAAAGTCACCAGGAATCTGCGTCAGGTAACCACGCAGTGGATAAGACAGTAACTGCCTTTGTTTCTCACCACAGCTGTGCCTGTGGTACCTAGAGCTGTGTGTGTGATACTTGAGAACCCTAACCCCATGATACAGGGCTCCTCAGATTAGCTCTTTCTTCTGAAATGAATCTTCCTGCCATACTTGAGCAGGGGCATATCTAGAAAGTTCTGGGGACCCAAAGGCTATTATTTTAATACAGTGACATATGACTATTTTCCAGAGGGCTGCCAGGATATCCCTGCAACCTGCCCTTCCTGTAATCTGTGTGATTTAGTTGTGGTTTTGATTTTTTGTTTGATTTAAAAGTACAGTTTTCATAGCAGTCATTTGGAAGCATGCACATTTGAGTCATTAAATCACAGTTCCTTTTTGTAGTTAAAAAAAAAGATTTTTTTTTTTTTTTTTTAGTAACTTGAGATTGCATCAATCTCTATTTCCTCCTCTTCCCAACCCCAAAATGGGAACATAAAATGTCCCTAGGGAGAAAAGTTTGGCCTTGTTTTAACCTATATTCTGAAGTTTTTGTTTATGAAGGTGCTTCTGATTTAGCACAGGAATTTTAACTTAAACTACAAATGATATGGAAAGTCACTTCATCCTCTAGGTGCCCGCTTCTATTGGAACGTATATATGTACATATTTAAATTCTTACACAAGTCTATATGCCAGAAAACCACCTACTTTTTACTGAATCTATGGGTTTACATATACTGTATGTTTAAATGAGACACATTACAGTATATGCCTAAAGCATGTTTGATTGTTCTCATATTTTGATCATTATGAGTTTTGATTATATGAAATTATGTATTGTTAGTGTATCGTTTTCTTAAGTGTTGACAGTGACTAATTTTTGAATGGTAAATGCTAACCTCAAACTAATATCCTTAACGTATTTGTTGTTTCTCTGAACAGTTGCAGAATGACCGATTGATTGTCTCTGGTTTCCCATTACTAAAATGGCCCTCTCTTTCTGAGCTGTTAACTAACCATTTCCTTCCTGATTCTGAGAGGCTTCAGCTACCTCAGCTAGAGAATCAAAAAAGAATCTTAGGTTTTGAGATTTAGTCTCATTGAGGCAGACAAGCAAAATTTAAAGTTTCTGAGAGTCTTCAGAGGCTTCTCTATGGGAGGATCACATGCCTTCCCAATGCTTTGAGAGGGGCCTCCCCTAGTCAGTGTGGTGATAGACAATGGATTTCCTGTAAGTCTGTCTCTTTAGTTTTCTGTTTTCATTTTTTTTTCTCTCATATACTCACTAAGATACTGGAGGCTTATTTGAGATGAGCACAGAAGGAAGGGTGGGTCTTGAGGAGCCCACTTTCTAGATTTGCCTTTGCTCAGGTTACAAAACAAGTTAAGAATTAATAACTCCAAGAAAACAGAAGTTTGTGCAGCCAGGGTGCATGTGTGGCAGGACAGATTACAAACAAGTCCATTCTACTCATTCTGTGTGTCAGGATCTTTGCTCTGTTTCATTGCAGTATACTGTGACCCTAAAGTCCATCAATATGACCGAAGGAAGTTTTGGAGTTGAGGAGGAGTCCTTGTATGCTGTAAAATTGAGTACTAGGGCAATGCCAACTGATTCCTACTAATTTCCTGGGGCTGGGTGTGGGTGTGGAGGGGGGACTATGATGGGCCTAGGGTGACAATGGCCAGCTGATAGGCTGCAGGCCTTTGAATTCCTTGCAGATGTAATGGCTCTCAGTTGTCCTCAGGAAGACAAAGGGAACATTGCCATGTGTCTGTTTCTGTCTAGTGGCAAGAGATGAACAAGGGCAGGAAAAGACTATCTCCTCTGTGGGAGGCCTATTTGTTAGTCTGCTTTTTTCTTGTAAAATTTTTTTGCCCTTTTTCTATGTTACTAACATGCTTAATAACTAACATGTCATTCATGGAATGTTTCATTCTACTAACCGTTACCTGAATCAAAAAATGTACTAACATGGTAGAGACCATCATATTTTTTAAGTAACGATCGTTATTCTGTTCACAGTTTTTAATTTCCTTTCTCCCCCCTTCTCCACAAAGCACTCAGGCATTGGACACGCTATGGTAAACAAACTACATTGTTCGGTAGATATCATTCTAATTGTTTCTTATTTTGGGTTTGCCGTGTGTTTTCTTTCTTTCTTTTAACTGTAGACATCATTAACAAAAGAGGAACTGCGGTTGGTACTCTTCTGCTTACCTTGACCTCCTTCTTTTCATCTGTTGTTGACTTTCTTATTTTTTTACCTGTTCCTGTCAACTTCTGTTTTCGAACTCACCTGTAGGGGCATCGTTAACGTTTCGAACGTTTTTTTGCATCCAGCTGTGGTTAACACGAGATAAGAAAATGGTGGCTGGCCCGAGTGACCGCAGGCTCAGCCAGTCTCTAACCATTCATGATGCATGGCATGGAAAGTGGTTTGGGAATGTTGGAGATGCCACACTCACTCATCTTTACGTCATCACTAAGCAGTTATCTTTCTCCTTTGGTTCTCCCCGTCTTCTTTCCTTTACTTTCTGAACGTTCTGTATCTCCTGCATGCGCACCCAAGTGCTGCTTCACTGGTTGTTTTGCGCCTCGTCTTCCCTCAGCATGCCTCAGGCACTTGCATGCTCAACAGTTGCTGCTCAATAGTGCAAATAGTGATGTTGCTGGAAATAGCTTGTGCCTTTTCTGTTGACAAGGTGCACGTTGTGATTAGTGAATAACAGACAACTAAACTTTACTAATATGTACACCAGCAAAACTAACCCAGGAGGCATTTTACTAACACCATTTTTGTGTCTGCTAAATAACTTTTGAGTTGCAGCAGGGATGATGCTGACACTAGTTCAATGATCACTTAACGCTCTAACTAGTTTAGATCTCTCAGGGCTAGCTGAATAGAATCCAAGAATAAACCTCAAACAGACATGAAAATGGGTTCCGCCATAGGGCTAAAACTGAAAACCAAACAAACAGAAAAAAAAAATGCAAAACAAAAACTAAGATAAAACAAAACACAAAACAGGCATATCCCAGGATTACAGCATGTAGGTCTGAGTATAGCGTGTCCTTTCCCTGTGCTTTGTTATCTAGGTGACAATATCAGTGGATGGGATTCTTACCACAACGGGCTACACGCAAGAAGATTACACCATGCTGGGCTCTGATGACTTTTTCTATGTTGGAGGCAGTCCCAGCACAGCCGACCTTCCAGGGTCACCAGTCAGTAACAACTTTATGGGCTGTCTCAAAGAGGTAAATATCGCTGTCATGGAACCATTCTTAACTCATAGGCTCATCTTTACAGATCCAGACAGAGAGCTCGTTTACCGAAGATCTGATGTTTGCAGAATGAATGGAACAACCTTAAATCCAGCCCTGTGTTGTTTATGCAGAGTGAGGGTAAAAGGCAGCTCTCACACCATGCTGATGAACGGAGCTCTGCTTCTCACAGTGTGCATTTTCGTGGGCAGCTTTCTCTCAGCTATAGGAGGACATCAAACAAAAAGAGATTTGGGTCTAAACTTGTACTAAGGGCAAATTGCTTATGTCCATCTAACTGTCTGGGGTATTATGTATACTGTGGTGACTTGTGCGAGAGTTAAAGAAAAACAAAACAAAATGCAGGCTACAAAAAGAAAGGACACAACATACATTAATAAAACCAAAACAGAAAACAAAAATGAAAGTGCATAATGAACTAGTTTTGTTGCTATATTTTGTGTCCTGAAAATGGAAGAACTGTGTCCTTTTTGACCTGGTAAGTTGACATGATATTTACTTGAGCAAAATCAGAGCTTAGGAGAGCAATATCATCCTCCATTCTCACCTGTCAGTGTCTGCTATAAATTTTTATAAGATTACAATTTGTGGGGAAAAATCTGGAAGACCTTGATTTTAATTTTATATCCCATAAGAGTTAGCTTTGAAAATCTATTTATAATTTTTTTTCTGATTATTGGATCCTAAAGTTCTCCCCTTGTTGCATTCTGGCAATGACTCAATGTAAACTCCTAAAACTTAAAGTGGAATATTATCAACTTACTAGTTATTTAGACACAACAATTGCTCCTGCCCAACAGTGCTATAATTTCTTTTGTTCTAAAGGAAATATAAGTATATAAACTTGATTGAATTATTTTATTTTTTATCTTTTAATCAATAGTAAAAAAAAAATCACTTTTAAAGGCTAAGTCATCATTCTCTTCCAAGTATTGTAGCTCTTTCCCAGTGTGTATGAGTTTGTGTTTATTGGTGTGTATGTGAGAGAGAGAGAGAAAAAGAGACAGAGCAACAGAGGCAAATAGAGACACACAAAGAGAAACAGCCCCAAGGAGGAACTCAGAACTGTTATAAAAAGTACAAGCAGTTTTTCAAAGGCAAAATAGGTCTGTATGTTGAAATGAGGGGGATTGTCTCTCAGAGAGTGAATATTACACTCTGAAAGTGTAGAACATGCTGTAGGGTCTGTTTTAAGGTCCATAGGTAATAACAAACTAACAAAATAGTAATTATCATTATGATGAAAACAGTATTAAAAATTTCAAAGAACTTTGTGTTTAGCACTATCCTAAAGCTGTCCATTGACCCTCACCATATAGGTTGTGGTTTTAATGTCTTCAGTTTTCAAACAAAAAGCCTGAAATTCAGAACAAGTATGTTAGGTGTGAAAAGAACCACGACACTTAGGTATTCAACCATGAAGCTTAATATTCCAGTCCTCTCTGATGGTAATTACTATAATTCATCATGTCCTAGAAGAAGTGTTTATTAGGCCACTGACACTGAAGATTATATACGTAAACTCTCAATTTCATTAAAAGCAGAAGCAAGTTTAAAAACGTATAATGGAGTATTAGAATGTGTGGGCATTCTGCTCAGTGACTTGAAAAGAGGCTGAGCCAAGTGTAAGTTCCAGTGGCCAAGGCAAATAAGTGGAACCTGGATTCAGAATGATTTGGACAGGCAGGAAATAGAAAACATAGTCCAGATTAGGAAGAGACAGTCATTGCATACTTTTATTTCACAAATTGTTTTATTCTTAAAACAATTACTCACACCAAGGTGTGGTGTTCCTTTCCATTATGCAACCAGCTATAGACCATGCTTTATCTATAAAGAATGAGATAATGCTAAATTGGATAAAGGTTCAGAATCTGAGGATCATTAGCAGGAATGCAAATCTAGCTAAAGAACATCCTATGGTTGGAGTATCAGTCTCAGAAAAGACCCCTGTGCCCAGATTTTTTGGTTCTGTTGCTCTGCTTGGGGAGCTCCTGTCCTCTCCAGGTCTTATTATTTCCTACTTCTTTTATGAAATTCCCTGCACTCTGCCCAAAGGTTGGCCATACGTCTCAGCATCTGCTTTGATACCCTGCAGGGTAGAGCCTTTCGGAGGCCCTCTGTGGCAGGCTCCTATACTGTTCCCTGTTTCTCCTTCTTCTGATGTTCATCCTTTTTGCCTTGGTGTGTGGGGTTTGAACATTTAATCAGAGTCCTCCTTCTTGATTAGTTTCTTTAGGTGTACCATTGATGAAGATAAACTAGAACCTCTACACAGATGTTGCCCATGGCAGTTCAGTCTCTGAGTGGGTTCCATAGTAATGGGAACAGGGACTGTCTCTGACATGAACTGATTGGCCTGCTCTTTGATCACCTCCCCCTGGGGGGGAGCAACCTTACCAGGCCACAGAGGAAGACAATGCAGCTACTCCTGATGAGACCTGATAGACTAGGATCAGAAGGAAGGAGAGGAAGAACTCCCCTATCAGTGGACTTGGGGAGGGGCATGTGTGTAGAAGGGGGAGGGAGGGCGTGATTGGGAGGGGAAGGGGCCATGCGGGGATACAAAGTGAATAAAATGTAATGAACTAAAATTAAAATAAAAATGGAAAGAAAAAAAAAAGAGCATCCTATGAAAAATGAGGATGTCTGAGGTACTGAGACATGGCATTCTGCCAGTTCTCTAGCGAACAAACACATTTTTACATATGGAAGCTGTAGTGGACTCCCTTCAGCTGAAATGTTTTCAACTTAAGCAGTTCTTCAGACTCACATATCTAGTGTTTAAATGCTCATACATTGACAGATCTCAACATTCGTCTTTTTGCATTAACAGTACAATCAAAAACAATATGACTAAAGAAAAAAAAGTAAAAAATAAAGGCACATGGTCTTTCAAGTGTCCCTTAGCTAGAACCCAGTCAGTGTGTAAAAGTAGATTCACCCTCTCCTTGTTTTCTGTAGACTTTACAAACAAACCTTCCCTGTTTGATAAGTGGGCATGGCCCACCTTTCTGCTTTCCACATCCTGGGGAATTTGTTTCAAACAAGTGCTGTGAGGCTTTGCAGCCTGTGTAGTGTGTTTCACTTTTTCCTTCCAACACACTAGAGGTTGGAGGGTTTTGAACACAATCAACTTATCAATTACAAACCTTTCCTTGGAGGGCTTTTGATACTTCATAGCTTTCTTTCATCCACATCTGAATCATCTTTCATAACAGCCTGTTTTTCCTGTTTCTGAAAGGTAATAGTGAAAAGGCACCATAGACTTTGAGCTAAATCATCTTTCTTTAGGAAGATCAGCTTTATAGAGTATGTGAATAGAGAGGAATATGCCAATTTTTATTCTCTTGTTTGTTCTTTTTTTTTAAACATTGGCTTAGACTTCCTAGCCTATAGCATTGTAAATGCTAATGCCTTAATTACTACTCCAATTATTTACTTATTACATTTTTTATTTTCAATCCAGTACATAGTACCCCGTATGATAGTCACTCTTGTAGAAGGATCTCAGGCACCAAGTGTGAAGCCATATAGATCACTTGTGGTAGGAAGAATCCTATCATTTTCTAAGTCTCATTGTTTTGAAAGTAGAGAAGCAGATATAGAGGAGGCAGTCTGTGGAACAAAGAAGGCATAACATTAAGACAAATAACAAACTCAACATTAAGAGAAATAACATATCTGATTTGAGGATGATGGTCTCATTGTGATCTATTATACTTATAAAACTAGAGATGGCCTAATACATTTACCAATTTATATCTTTGTTTTATGAAAATTAAAGTTAAAAAGAAATTTTTCATCATATTGAAGCAATATACATTTTAATTTTCTTTAGTGACATCTTGGCACTTTTGTGATAGTCATGATAATAAGTGAGACATGACAGCACTTTCAGCCACTAGGGCCTAGTAAGAAAGTAAATTGGTTAAAGTGATCATAGAATTTCAAATAAAATAATGGTGTATAAAACACTAGTCTGCTTATAATGATAAGAAATATTGAACAGGCTGAAGAGAAAATAATGTCTGTGCAATATTTAAATTTTGTCACAACAATTGAAAAAGCTTTGGAGAAAATGACTTTCATAGACTTGTTTTAGGAAAGGCAAAAGGAAATTGTAAACAATGAGTTAGCATTATACACAGCTCATTCTTATAAAATCAGACATAGCCCTTGGGAAATACACTTCGAAATGTTACTATAGCAAAAAACCCCATAAGTTTTTCTTTGGCAGGAGTGCTAACTTACATTTGTTACATTTTTGGAAGCATCATTTAAAAGCTGAAATATATTTCCTAATAATTTTTTATCATTCTATTAAAGGGTATACAAACAGGAGAAGGTTTGAGAACCCATAAGAAGAAGGACTTGGCATGTGAATGAGAGGTTTGAAGCCCTTCTAGGAACTCCCAGCACCACCCAGCTATCTTTTTTTCCTGAATACAAGTACTGTAGTGTAGTCCAAAAGTGCTCATTAGAGGCGGCTGTTCAGCCGCAAGAGATGGATGAAAATCTCAGTAATACATGTCTTACTCTAATAATTTGACCATGAGGGCTTGGATAGTAAGGCATCCAATGTTTACTGATGCTTTTCCTATTAACCCTATCTGTCCTTAACTCCTTTATTTTGCTCTTCTTAATTTCTTTGTGTCCACAAATCACTCTGAAACACCTGTTTCTCTCCTGCAGGGTGGATATTATTTAGCATAGTTAGGAAAAGAAACTAAAGAAGGTGAAAAGGATTGTGTGTGTGAATAAAACACCTTAGAAGGCTTTATCTGAAGTGTGTTTTCAGATGTATGTGCCTGCTGGAGATTTTCTAATCAGTTGCTGCAGTGGAGACTGTGCCTGTGTGAGGTAATTTAAAATGCTGCCTCTAAGAACAGCTTGGAATGAGCCTGAGGAAAGATTCTTGAGAGGAAAAAATTGAGTGAAATGCTAGAGGGAATTAAATCCCTACTGAAAAT